TGTTGGGCAGGCAGGCAGGAGCAAAGGACAGGAGATGGGATGAGAGGGGGTTGAGGATAACTTTCTCTTTCAACCTGTGGGGAGACTGCAGGCCTCTCTGGCTTTGAGGTGATGGTGGTGGCAAGGTGGCTTCTCTGTTTCTGTAAGTATAATGAAAAGGCTTATTAGTCACAAGCCCCATGAAAGTTACTGCATTCTTTGGCTTGTTAAAAAATAAGTTCCTCTCTTCAGGCGGAAAAAGTGCACGAGCTGAATGAAGACATAGGGAAACTCCTGGCGAAAGCTGAGCAGTTAGGAGCAGAAGGGAACGTGGACGAATCTCAAAAGATCCTGATGGAAGTGGAGAAAGTCCGAGCAAAAAAGAAAGAAGCGGAGGTTTGTTGAAAACAGTAATCTTAATATGTCTTAATGTTTTCTGAGTAACTGCTAACTGAATCACTACACAAAGCAGGAAATTCCTATCTAGACAACTTCATCTCTTCTCTACCTCCACACTGGGTTAGCTAGTAGTTGGCCATAAGGAATGAAAGCTGATGAAATGGCTTTGAGGGCTTGTCTATGTTGCAAGGTTTTTGCCAACAGAAGTTCTGGCAGCTCCACATGGCTCTGCTGCATAAAGTTGTATCAGCAGGGTGCATGCTGCATTCTGTAAGACACCAGCTATTCAAAGGACTTTGATAGCCTGCAGATAGTGTGGGCACATGTACAAGTGCATTCTGGCATCTTTCCTGTTAAGGCAGAAGCCTTTTGTTGGTTGCTCTGCCAACAGAAAGAAGAGATTCTGCTTGCAGATGTGATGAAAAATGAAGGTGTCACAGTTTTGCTGAGAGTACCTGAGTCCTGTCAACCAAACTTTAGTGTAGACCAATTCCTTACAAGCTCTAAGCTGTTTAAGAGTGCTTACTGCATGGTGGGTTCCTTATGTTGGCTTGTGTCTACTTCTCCTCAGGAAGAATACCGCAATTCTATGCCAGCTTCCAGTTTCCAGCAGCAGAAGCTGCGTGTCTGTGAGGTCTGTTCAGCATACCTTGGTCTCCATGACAATGACCGCCGTCTCGCTGATCATTTTGGTGGCAAGTTACATTTGGGCTTCATTCAGATTCGTGAGAAACTGGATCAGTTGAGGGTAATCCTATTAAACCTCTTTTCTCCCCTTTAGATAGCAGTGGGTGGCAGTTTATGGATCCTTGCCACTTTGTCATGCACAGTCCCTTTCTCTGGCTTATATGAAAGCTCTGCCAAATCCTTGTTCTCAAAAGCTCTCTGATTTCAAAAAACTGTGAATCTTCAAATGGAGGCTTGTGTACCTTTGCCTTAAGTTCTGCCTTATAATGTCTGATTAACTGAAATTTTACTAGTAGAGGAATATGCCCCCCAAAATATCAAATTAATTTCTCCTTTAATAATGAAACTGTTGACTATGCACTGCATTGTAGTCCATTGGGCTGAAGCAACATTTATCACTAATTCTAAAATTATTTTCTTTTTAATTCTGAAAACCAGAGACCTCCAGACAAAATATTTTATAAACCTTCATGTGTTACATTGTGGTGTCAGCAAAGGTCTTGCACAGCTCAAATTTTGACGACAGAGCACTTTTCAAAAGCCACAGGTACTCTGACTTGGTAGGACTGATGTACTTAGCTAGCTCAGTTTTTACAGAGTCCTTACAAACAAACAGGAGCTTTCTGGCTTTCCCATCAGTGTTCTTCATTTCCATGCTATTCTTATTTTGGGGGTTGATTCTTTATATTGCAATTGTGTCAAGATACACTAACCTCAAGATTTAGACATTGTGGTAGGTGTATACGGAGTGAGACGATCCCTGATCCAAAGAGCTTATGGGTGAAGTAGATAGTACCACAGCCAACAATCACAGGCATAAAGGCCAGAGCAGGAAATACATTCCTTGCCTCACCAAAATGTACCATTTTCCTCAGCTGTTGCAGAAGAAACAGAAACACGAGTGGAGATTTTGAGAGAGAGTCAAAAATTTGCTTTTGAAGTGTTTATATCAATGTATAAGAAAGTCATTGTCATCCATAGTTTGTTCTTCAGCCCGTCTTCTGTCTTGATTTTTATAAGCAAAACAGTCCTGTGCTCTCACAGTAAGGAAACAAATGACATGTTGGAAAATGTCAAAATAAAATCCAGATCCAACAGAAGATTCTTCTGAATTATTACATTTTTTGCCTCAGTACTTATAGGATCTTGCTACACTGGTTTGGGCCACTACGGAATATCTAACAAACTTATTAATTCATTCCTTATCTAGAAAACAGTGGCAGAAAAACAAGAGAAAAGAAACCAGGATCGTTTGAGGAGGAGAGAGGAACGAGAACGAGAAGAGAGAATGGGCAGACGGTGAGTGAAAGCAGTGAGCCCCTCTTTTGGGGTTAGGATTTAAAATAGTACTGCCCTTGTGCAGCAGTTACAAGAACCATGAAAATGGCAAATGAATCGTTTCCAAACTTAAGCATTTGTTAGTGCTGAAAGATCTGCCACGGCATGTGCAATGGGGGGCAGCTATGCCAACGCAGGTAAGCCTTTTGTTGAGCCCATTCCTCATATTGGGTGTTATCTCTACCGTGAGAGCATGCAATTAAAATATACAGCACTTAAAATGTGTGAGCTCCCACATGGTGGTTTACTACCTAATTAAGAATCCAGCTCAAGACACATGCAGGAGATGCAATTGTGTGGATCACACATTAGATCCAATCATGACTTGCATACACTTGTAGAGGGAACCAAAGAGTGCTTTTCATGGTCGCCCCTCACCCTTGGAGCCGTTTCAGTCTTAGTTTCATAGTTGGTAGGGTCCAGGAGGCCTGAAATGCCTCTACACTAATGCCCGTAG